ATAATATTTTAAATTTTCACCTGAGGCTATATTTTTATTGAGAGAGAGAGAGAGAGAGAAAGAGAGAGAGAGAGAGAGAGAGACAGACAGACATTGATGTGAGAAACCGTGATCAGTTGCCTCCCATCGATACCCTGAGGGATCAAACCTGACACCTAGGTATGTGCCCTGACTAGGAATCGAAACTGCAACCTTTTGGTACAGACAATGCACCAACCAGCTAAGCCACCTGGCCAGGGATACTCTCCCTATTTTAAGGTCATGTTTGGCAACCGTAGTGTCATCGGAAGCCTTAATCCCCCTTGCCTGGTGATATGACAGATTGGCAGCGTCCTGGGATAAAGACGTGGACGTCTTTGGGGACCATTCTGCACACCACAGCCACCTTTCTGTGATTTCACAGATGGCTAGAATGAAAGCCTTTGTTTAATATTTTTGCCTTGTAGAGATTTTTGCTGTGAGAATTAACAGTGACCTTTCATTATGGGGGATATCCTGGCTCATGAATCCGAATTACTTGGACTAGTGAAAGAGGTAGGTATGTTATACTACAGAAAAAGCCCGTGAAACTTGTAAAGCTGCATTTACAACACGGCAGGTTCTCCAGTGCCTTGCCCTGTCTCTTCTGTCATTACATCCCAGTTATCTATTTTCCATGACAAAATTTTCCTTGTGTTTCCACTTTGTTTTCATAACTAACTAAACTGAAATCTTAAGGCTGCTTTCTAGAAATCTTTTAAAGAAAATTATAAAAGCAACACATAGTTATGGTAACAGATTCAAACAGCCTGAAAGTATAAACATTGAATTTCCTCGCTCCGCTTCTGCAGTGACCATGGCTAATGATTTAGAGTATTATCTTCCCAGACTTCTTCCTATGAATATTAAAAATATATTCACATGCCTGTAATTTGTTTCACAAAATGGGATGGTCCCACACACATTGTTCATGTAGCTTGTCATTTGGCCGTCAGCGGTCACATAGCCTGAACATCTCCCTGTGGTCCTCACATTTCCTAATGCTGTAGAGCATTTCATTGAGTGGCTGCATCGTAACTCCTTACCTGATGCCTATTGATGGGCATTTCGGTGTCCCACGCTGAAGGCTTTTGAAGGGTAGGACCCGCGCCTTATGCTTTCTGGTGTTCTCTGCTGCTTTTCATGTGGGGCTGGCACATAGTTGCTGCTAAAGAAACGGTCGCTGCTGCTTTACTGTGTGATCCAACTGCCCCTAGGCACCGAGAGGTGCGGCAGTGGAGCAAGGACGAGGTGTCCACCTAGAGGTGCAGCTTTGGGATTTGTTGGCATGACTATGAATAAATTCTTTTTTTTTTAGTATCTGTAGATACTTTAATAATAAAACTATTTCAACATAAAAAATTCAGAGCCCGCGAAGTCATATATGTGAACGGCAGCTATCTAAATGCATGCACGTCTGAAAGAGAAAGAAGCAGCAGGGCACAAACTGTCTATGCTCAAATCAACTTGAGAAGTCATCCTTCATTTGAGCTTTTTAAGAACAGAAAACTTAATAAGGTTCTTTAGGTATCGATGCATGAATAAATTCTTCACACAGCAGAGGGTTGGGGACAGGGCTGGGGGAATAGTCACCATTAGGAGAGGTGGAAACAGAAAGTGTGACTGACAAAGTGGGAGGCGGGCGGAGGGTCAGGAGCAGCAGTGGACCGTGGTGCGGAATGCAGGGGGGAGGGGGCGTCAGGGTCGGCAGTGCTCTGCTCGAAGGCCACTGATGGCACGGCCCATCGTCTCGTGGCTTCTCTTAGGGACAGGCATTATTTCTCATCCTCTGTTTCAAGTAACAAATTCCCAGAGACATACCTGACCCAGAGCCATCAGGCTGTCTGCCCATCACTTACTTTTTCCGACTGCTGCAAACATGGTTTATTTCCTATTAATCATTACAGTGAATCGTGGAGCTCACATTTTCCTCCTGAAAGCCAACTTATTTTCTGTAAAGAAGCATTTTCTATGTCACTGTCTTTGTAGGCTTTTAGTGTATATATGGATAAGTAAATTCTAAGATGGATCCCAGATTCTCCCAAAAATGACAGTCCCTTAACCCCATTAGAAATTGGTGATAATATTGAACTGGTACAGTTACGTCAAAGGCAGTCACTTCATTGATGTTAAAACAGAGAACTATATGTACTATATGTTTGTGGTCTCTTTTTATAGTATTTAGATTTTGCTGAATTTGAAGACACCTTGAAAATGTTTTCAAAAGAATGCAAAACGAAAGGAAAAGCATTACCCAAAACAGCAGGTAGCTCTTTAAGGGACTCTAAATCATCGATAATCCAGGTAACATTTTACTTTTTAAAAATTTCTGTTGATAATCAAAATGCTCTCAACTTGTAAAGAATGCTACGGTTTGAGGATGTTGGAATCTCTTCGGAGGACCTGGTCAGAGTGGCTTTCAGACTTCTCAGGTGTTAGGGGATGAATTAGTAGTGTCGTCTTCACATCTTTGTACCCTTCCTGGGAAGTGGGTGGTGACATAAGGTCTTTCACATACATTTCTTGGGAAGAATAAAAGAGGAAACCTTTCAATGCTTAGAAACTGAGACAAATGTGATGCCCATCCTGAGGAGTTTGAGGTTGTTAATTCCAGGTGCCAGGGACACAGTGGTGAAGAAAACAAAACAAAACCCTTGCCCTCACAGTGCTGGCGCTCTAGCTTGGGGAGGCTGGAGGAGGGAGCAGGGCACAGGGACAGGACAGCGTTCTGTCCAGGAAGGCCGGAGCCACTCTGTGAATACGAGTGGGTTGCGAAGGGCAGACCTGAGGGGTAGAAAGAACCTTAAAGTCCCTTGTTTCAGCTATTATTTGATGCCTCTTTACCATTCATAGCATTCTAGGTAAGTTCACCTTTACTACAGCCAGTGACGAGAATATACTGCATCCTGAGCAGCATATTTCAGCTTTGCATGATTTTATTATTTCAATTAATTTATTGGTCTCAATGCACCCATTTCCAAGAAAATTTTGAGACTTGTTTTGAGAGGCCCACTGAGTAACTGGAAGTTAGGCCACAGCCACTGCCTGTCTGATCCTGGTCCCTGACTCCCATGGCCTGGCGCGGGGCATCATCGAAGGGGCCCGGGCAGTTCCAGGTGGGGCTCAGGCACCTGGCCACTGAGCTGCTGCCACACTGACTGGGACTGTTAGGAAGATCTTTCGGTTCTGCCGTGTACCTGACTCCGAAAGCCTGTGCAGCAGGTATTTGTGATCATTCCTCTTGTGAGGCAGGTGACGTGCTAATCTCCACCTCCTTTCTCCTTGGGTGGTGAGTTGGGAAGCTCTCGGTGCCCTGCATAGTCAGGCTCGAGCTCTGAGGTTGGAATGGGATTGGCCTGGCTCCTTCCTCCATCTCCAGCCTGAGTCTGTACCTGGAGTGCCCAGTCTCTATGTGGGTGACCGCTTCCCACTGCGCCACATGCTTCTAGCAACAGGGCAAATAGCAGTGCCGCCTCCAGGCCTGGGTTCGACGGGGTCAGCGTGTGAGCTCCTGCGCCCGGGGACTTGGCACTGCTGCCGGCAAGCTCCGGATGCAGGAGGATTGTTGCGCTGAGGCCCGCCTGGGCCCTCAGTCTGGCCTCTGTTCATCTGTTGGGCAACTTTGCTGCATTTATGTGCCTGTGAGTTCTTGGCCACAAGTCTTTAGCCTCTGCCTGAATCCTTCCATCTCAGGCCTTAAATGTCACTTCGGGGTCTTATAAAACCCGGATTGGATACTGCAAAGGGGTGTGAAACCAGAGTTGGTCTGCAGGAATCTCAGCTACGGAGCTTGGAGCCCTGGGTCTCAGTTTTCTGCCCCTTACCTTTGAAAAGGAGACTTGCTTTCCTCACACTGAAACCTGGAGTCCGGGGTCTCTGAGGCATTGGGAGGGCTGTGAGAATTTGGGTGTCGGGAGAAAGGACACCCTATGCTTGGGCTCCCGTCTGATGTCTTTTCCACAGAAGGACCTCATTGCTGCGTTTGACAACGGAGCCCAGAAGGTGTTCTTCGATTTGTGGGAAGAGCACATTCCCAACTCCATCCGAGATGGTGACTCCTTTGCCCAGAGGTTGGAATTCTACCTCCACATCCATTTTGCCATCTATCTTCTGAAACGCTCCGTGCGGAGACCTGTACGTTCCCCTTGTGATGCGTTTGGTCTGATTAGCGTGCTAAGGGAGAATGATAGCTGTTATGTTTCCTAATGAGTATTAATTTAGTTTTATGCCCACTTTCTCTTAGTGCTGAGGGGTAGGTGTCTTGTGTCCTGATGAATAATTTTCTACCTCATTCCCAGCAGTTTCTTCTTCTTCTTCTTCTTCCAGAGAGACACACATTTACGTGAGAGAGACACATTGATGGTTGCTTCCCATACGCACCCCAACCCGGGCTGGGGATTGAACCTGCAACCTAGGTATGTGTCCTTGATCAGAAATCAAACCCATGACCCTTCAGTGCATGGGCCGACGCTCACACCGGCCAGGGCAGCAGTTTATTTTCTAATTTACATAGAGAGTTAACAGTTTCTGTAATGAAAGCTACATTGTTTTCCTGAATACCTCAAGTTTTTGAAAACTCAGCAAATATATGCATGTCTGTCTAAGAACACATATGTAGACCACATATTAGACCATATATATATTCGAAGAGAAGTTTAAGCATTAACAGTAGAAAAATGGTATGCCTGTTTGTGCAAGTCCGTTCGTTGAGTGATAAGTTGAGTTTAGCTTCCGAAGTCTTTCCCAGGGGAGGGCGGGCTGGAGACCTGCAGAGAGGAGAGGGCTTTGAGGCTGCCGTGGCAGAGAGCTTCCCAGTGCAGAGCCAGTGACAGGGAGCAGGGCCGCGCTGACGTGTGACCACGTGCACTTGGTTAGTGGCTTCTCCATGCACCACCTGCCGCCCCGAGGACCTGTGTTAAATTATTAAACTGTCAGGGGCCAAAGGAGGGGTCAGTGATGGAGGGAGCAGCCCTGCAGAACACTGTAGTGGCCATTCTTGGAAGGCTACTCACAGCACTCATGTGGGTACCATCATGGGAGATTCTCATTTTCTTTGTATTTATTTCTGTTTTCTAATTTTCCCATTGATATAAGATTAAAAAAATAAATAAACATGATAGGTGCAGTGAAATGCTTTGATTAGAACAGGCTGTGAGGGGAGTAACTGGTGAGGCCAGGGTGTCTGGGAAGAAAAGTTCCAAATTCAAGGCTGGAGGCGCAGGAGGAGATGGAAACCCTGGGAAGGACCTGCCTTGGATTTCGTGTGGAATTAGTGAAGCAGGCAAGGTCAGTGCTCAGTTACCTTAATGAAGGAAAGGAGTGAGATGTGGAAACTTGTTTCAAAAAACTATTCACTTTTTCAAAAGGTCTTTTCAAAAGACCTGCCCTGATTCTCTCCTAATGGAAACATGGAAATGCACACAAAATTTATGATCTCAGAAATGTGGAAACTGTGTATATATCTAATAATGGGGAATTGGTTCAATCATGACAGACCCACAAGATGAGGTTTTGTCCTGCCATTGAAATGATGTTTATGATGCATCATAAGGATGTGAGAAAATGGTGATCAAGTAAAAGGCCGTATATTGAACAAGTATCTGTTCTCTGATATTCCTGACAGTTTCATGAAGGGGTGAAATTGTGGGCAGTCCTGGAGTCTGGGGTCTCTGAGGCATTGGGAGGGCTATGAGAATTTGGGTGTTGGGAGAAAGGTTGTTTCTTTCTCCCGCTGTCACAATGACTGGAGACAGTGCACTTGCCAGGCCGGCTGGGGAGGCTGCCAGCGCCGAGGCTGGAGAGAGAGGCTGGGGTGGATGGTGGGCTGGGCGCGCTGGCGCCAAGCAGGGACCTCAAGTGAGCATCTTCCCTTCCTCGTAGGACAAAGAGGAACTGGATGAAAGGATTTCTTATTTCAAAACCTACCTGGAGAGCAAAGGGGCAGCTCTGAGCCAGACCACAGAGTTCCTCCCTTTCTATGCGCTGCCGTTTGTTCCAAACCCTATGGTGCACCCGTCCTTTAAAGAGCTCTTCCAGGTAAGTGACAGCCTCTGAGCCCGTCAGTCCTGGCAGCATGTGGCTTCGCCTTGTTCAAGCTGGTGGCTTCTGAAAGATGCTGTAAAAGCTCGTGTTTGCTTATGCTGCAGTTTAAGAACACTCAGATAATTTGCTTTAACAAACTTTCTTGTGCCATAGAGTGTGATTTTTTTTGGTTGCACCACGACTTGTTAATATAGACCAACATAAATATTTTTAATATACTAATCTCTTAAATCATTCTGTGTATACTTTTTCAGTATTGGATGGATAATTCAATTACATTGACAGTAGCCTGAAAAAGACCTAGAGTACTTTACATAATTGCTGGTCATATATATTTTTTAATTGATTTTAGAGAGCAGAGAGAGAGAGAGAGAGGGAAACATCAATTTGTTGTTCCATGTATTTATGCATTCATTGGTTGCGTCTTGTATGTGCCCTGACCAGGAATCAAACTTGCAACCTTGGCGTTTTGGGATGATGCCGAAATGAACTGAGCTACTTGGCCAGTGCTCGGTTATGTATTTTAATTTGTATTAAAATTCTCACTTATTTGGTGTATATATTCGGTACCTGATTTGTACTATTATTTCCATCAGACTATTTACCTATAGGCATTTAAAAATATATATATATTTTATTGATTTTTCACAGAGAGGAAGGGAGAGAGAGAGTCAGAAACATCGATGAGAGAGAAACATCGATCAGCTGCCTCCTGCACATCTCACATGGCTAGGGCTTACCTATAGGTCTTTAAAACATTTTTTTTATTGATTGATAGAGAGAGAGAAAGACATGTTGTTCCACTTACTGTGCATTCATTGGTTGCTTTTTGTATGTGCCCTGATCCAGGACTGAACCCACAACCTTGGAGCATGTCGGACGGCACTCTAACCAACTGAGCTACCTGGCTAGGGCCTGCCTATTGCTCTTTTAATTTTTGGTGGGGCGGGGCCAGGCATGGGGTGGGCCAGAGGGCGGGGCCTGTGAGGCAGAGGTGGGGCAATGCGTGGGGGCAGGGCAGAGGGTGATCTTTTAATTGTTATACTTTATTTTAGTTAAAATTTCAGCATAATATTTATTTAATAAGATTTACCTATTATAGTAATTTTTGTTGACGTACTAAAATGAATATGTCCCACAGAAGTTTATTGAAATGTATTTTGAGCCTGAACTATTTTGATGTAGATTGCTTTATCTAAAGATCTTATACTGTTTCCAAGAACCTATATGGAGCCCTAGCTGGTTTGGCTCAGTGGATGGAGCGTTGGCCTGTGGACTGAAATCCCAGGTTCGAATCTGGTCAAGGGCACATACCCAGGTTGTGGGCTCGATCCCCAGTAGGGGTCATGCAGGAGGCAGCCAATCAATTATTCTCTCTCATCATTGATGTTTCTATCTCTGTCTCCCTTCCTCTCTGAAATCAATAAAAATACATTTAAAAAAATAAAAAGAATCTATATGGAGCTTACTCCTCTGCCTTTGAACATTGGATGCAATTCTCCTGAACCCAGTGCATTTCAGTTTCCTATTCTGTTATGATTCAGTAAAACAACTTTCTCCCTCTTTAGTAGTAGCTGCTAAACCAGAGGCTGACTGATTCACCAAAGCAGGCTTGTTGTAAAGTAGCCTACATTGAATTCCGTGCTTGTTTGTTTTGTTTTTGGTCAGTCCAAATTTAGTTTTTCCACTTTCTTCTCCTAAGAGGTTGAGATAGAAGGGTTAGGAAGGTGGTAAACTTGACAAGGATGGTAGATTTTCTCACAGTGAAGACTTCAGTTTGTGAAAATTATGACATAGCAGCATGGCTACAGCTTAGCTAAGGGTGAGGTGAAGCTGGAGATCAGGAATTGAGAGACCATCAGTATTCATGGAGTCGTTTTATTCCTTTTCTTTTTCTTTTTGCTACTCTCTACATACGTTCTTGTGATGGTCATCATAGATACTTTAGTGTGTATGCATAATAAAATCTAAAGGTAATGTCTTTATTTTCTTTCTGACCTTACAAGGTTCCGAGAATGTGTTAACCTCATTCATCCCCTTTTCAATTTATGTGTTATTATTGTCAAATATTTTAGTTATTTAGTTTAACCCCACAAATTAGACTTTTCTGCTATTTTATGCAATTAATGTGTGCATAGCTTTACCCTTACCTTTGTCCATATTTTGCTTACTACCTCAAGAAAGGTTAAGGATCTTCCTTCTGGGGTCATTTTCTGCTCCACCTTAAGAACATTCCTTTAAAATCCCCCTTGGTTGTGGACTCCTCCTTTCAGTTCTTGTTTGTCTGCAGATGTCTTGACTGCATTCTCAAATTCAGGATAGTAGGTTTACAGTTACGTTCTTTTAGAACATTAAAGGTATCATTTCGTCTCCCATTAATGCTATTTTGAATTTGGCCAACAGTCTAATTGCTGCTACTTTTAGGTGATCTGTCTTTTTCGTTGGCCTTTAAGACTATAATTTCACTACAGTGTGTCTAGGGACACCCATATGTTCTGTTTTGTTTTGTTTTGTTTTTTAATGTCTTGGTTTATGCTGGCCAACATAGCAGTCCTTTCCTGGGATTCTTTTCTGTAGATTGAGCACAGAGGGCCTAACATTGTGTTAGTTTCCTGTGGCTGCCCGAACAGAGGACCACAGACGAGGTGTCTTAAAACAACAGAGACTGACTGCCTCACAGTGTAGGAGGCCAGAGGTCTGAAGTCCAGGTGTCTGCGGCAGGGCTGGACTCCCTGCGAGGCCTCCAGAGGAGGGTCTCTCCTTGCCTCTTCAGCTTCTGGAAGGTTCAAGTGTTGCTTGGTTCATGGCAGCCTAATTCCAGCCTCTGATGTGTCCTTACATGCCATCTTCTCTCTGCGTCTGTCTGAAATTTCCTTTTTTTTTTTTTTTTTCAGATCATCAGCATAGCCAGGTTCTCCCTTTATTCTCCTGTTACATCTGTATTTATACCATTTCAATTTCCTTTTTCTTGTAAGGACACTATTCATGTTGGATTAGGAGCCCACCCTCTCCAATACGTCTTCATCCTAACTAGTTACATCTGCAGCCACCCCGTCCCCAATGCCCTCGCATTCTGAGATTGGGACACACTTCAAGCCATAACACACACACACACACACACACACACACACACACACATTATAAATAGTTATGCTGCGTCAGGGAATTATGAAATCTTTTTAAAATACAAGACTTTTCTGCTTATCTGGCAGTAATTTTTGAAAGTCAGGTAACACACCGGATGACTGACTGGGTGGGGCAGGAGACGTGGTGAGGATAAGGAGCTGGAGGAGAGCAAGTGGGGAGGGCCGGAGGTCTGTGGGCCGGGCAGGAGCGCGGGTCAGTGGATGGGAAATTTCAGTGATACAGCTTCATTTTGGTGGAACTTGTTAGTTTGGGAGGTAGATATTTTTATATAAAGACTATGAGGAAAATTGCCCTGAGAAAGATGGTTGTTTATGACACCTTTTTCTTTCACTAAAGTTATTTTTTTCTTCTCAATGAGCATTACTTGAGAGAAATAATTTATTTTTAAGGGACAAATCAAACTAAAAATATATCGTAACTCCTGACACGATGGAGTGCATGAGGTACTGTCTTTCCTCCTTACCTACATGAGGGTTATGGAAGCGAGTGCCTTTCTCAGAAGGCCTTAGGTAGTAACTCAGTGGTCATTGTGTGTGCCTGCCAGGGCCACGTATGCCTCAACTGTACTGAATTCTTGTGGGTAATCAACCTAATAAGGTTACTTGTCATGCTTGTGTTTAAGTCACATGAAATATTCAAATCATGTACAGGGTTATTTTTCCCCTGTTTATGAAAGAACTCTGTTTTTCCTTCCTGCTGTGGGTACTTGAATCTGCTATAAATGAATTGGTTAGTTGTCCTAAAACCTGTGTTTTAGGCACCACACCACTGCCAAAACATCTAGCTTATTTAACCCTGAAGGCCACAACTTAACGATGCTGTTGGCATTTAGTGACCTAGCTTTTATTTTATTTTCCTTTTTTTTTTTCTTCAGGATTCTTGGAGTCCAGAATTGAAGTTGAAGTTGGAAAAGTTTCTAGATTTAATTTTTAAAGCCAGTAACACGCCAAAGCTTTTAATGTTATATGTATCCTTTCAAAGCCGGTGGAGCCCGCCATGGTGTTAGAGTGGCTTGCTGGCTTAGACCGCCTCACAAACAGGGATAATTGATGAGACCACTTTCACATGCATGGGGTGAATGAATTAGTAAAGTGAGGGTGTCCCAAGGCCCATAAAGGGTTGACTTCTGTGGCATTGGGTATCTGAGACTGGGCAGAGTCTTTTTATTTTTAGAGAGTGGAAGAGAGGGAAAGACAGAGAGAAACATCTATGTGAGAGAAACGCATCAATTGGTTGCCTCCTGCGCATGCCCTGACCAGGACCAATATATATATGTTTATTGATTTCAGAGAGGGAGAGAGAGACAGAAACTTCAATGATGAGAATCATTGATCGGTTGCCTCCTGCACACCTCCTACTGGGGATCGAGCCCACAACCCAGGCATGTACCCTGGCCGGAATCGAACCCGGGACCCTTCAATCCTCAGGCTGACGCTCTATCCACTGAGCAAAACCAGCTAGGGCTAGGGTCTTATTTTTATGTCATGTGTTAGAAGCTGTGTTAGTAGGGGGGAAAAAAGTCTGTCTTTTTGGAAAAGAACTCCTTGGAATAACTGTCCCTTTGTAGATGACTGCTCAACCATTTTTAAGGCCTTGAAGCCCTGGCACATGGGTTACGTGACCATATAACTTGTTATTCTAATTGGGACTTTTAAAAAAATTGATTTCAGAGAGGAAAGGAGAGGGAGAGAGAAATAGAAACATCAATGATGAGAGAGAATCATTGATCAGCCGCCTCCCACATGCCCCACCTTGGGGATCGAGCCCACAACCCCGGGATTTGCCCTGACCAAGAATGGAACCATTGACCTCCTGGTTCATAGATCGACGCTCAACCACTGAGCAACACCGGCTGTGCTGTTTTCACCCCAATCCCAATTTCCCTAGGATAGAGCTTTAGCACTGAAGTTACAGTTAAAGGGTCTGAATTCAGATTTGCACGTTTAGTAGAATGTTTTGGTAGCAATGGGGAAGGTCTTTTGAAGAGGATAAGAAGGCCAGTTATGGGGTTGTTGAAATAGTATACGACTTGGATGCACATGGAGGCAATTGACATGGAGAGAAGAGCGTTTATTTGAGAGCAAGTCGCCCAAGTGATGAGAAGCCAGTAACCATCTTAGCTATTTGTAGCAGCATTAAGAAGTGGCCTTCGCCGTGCTGAGAATCCTCCCCACCATGCTGAGGTGGGGTACCCCGAGGACTGCATCCTGAGTGCCCATTTTCCTGAACTGCTTTCTCATTCCAGAAGGAGAATGGACAAAGTCACAAAGGTAAACCATGCCATGTAGATTAAAAAGTTTTAAATAACAACTTGGCCAACTCAAGTTTTAAGTAGTGAGATGGAGAGAATTCCAAAGACTTGGAGAATAGAATGAGGTTTTTAAAAGTCTAAATATTTATGAAGTGCTTTGCAATTATTTGTATCTGAGATTCCTTGCGGCCCACTTTTCAAGAAGGCTGGTGTTTTTAGCTTCGTCTTGCATGTCAGGTAACTAAGACTTGGAGAAATGAAGCAAATCCAAGCACTGTGCCCGTGTAACTGCAGCCGCGCAGTTAGAAGACAGCCTGGCAGGGTGGGGAGGAATCGTTTTAGTATCTTTCAACTTTCGCCTTGAACTAGTCTAATAGCAATGTGGAGTACCCATTCTTATAAAGCATTTCCATTTTTTACCTTCAAGGTAGGAATTCCAGTCTTAATTTTTTAGCGTGAAATGATGTTTTTCCATGATTAGTCATGTTTACTGGAACTGTTCACTTTTCAGGAAGGTGAGAAAGACTGTCATGAAATTGGCCAGAGTTGGGTTCTTTGCCTGAGTTTGTCTTCGATGCTACATTATAAAAACCACTTAAATGTTTGTGCTGAAAGTATGTGATGTGCTTCAGGCCTTGGGCAAGGATAGGCGGCATCATCCTCAGTTCCAGCAGGTGGAGTCTTACCACATGGAGCAGCACATTTCCCTCCTCACAGCTGAGGATTTCAGAACTTCCTGCCATTGTTCTTCCGGTTTCTCTTTAGAAAGTTGAGGTTTTCTAAAGAAAGGAAATACTGATCAATGAGTTAGCTCTTTGCTTTCCAGGGAGTTGACAAGTGAGTGATGCTTTAGCAGCTTCAGGTGAGAAGAGTTTAGATGTTTGGTTTTTTTATGCTTGGCAACCATGCAGATCCCCAACCCAGCATTTCCAAATTCTGGTTCTGCCAGGTGTGCTGCCCCCCTTAGGCCTCAGAGGGGACAGACCCCACTGACCTTTCATGGAGGAGCCACAGTCCTGTGCCTGAGCACCTAGGAGCAGGGTACAGATGTGGCCTCCTGGGGTCCCCATGGGATGGTCCCAGGGTGGCCAGGCTGCAGCCTTAGAGCTTCTCAAGTGGCTGTGCACCCAGCACAGTTATGTCCGAGGACAAGCCCCTCCAGCCCATCCCAGCTCCTCAGGCCTGCTCCCTGCAGTGTTGGTGCCGTTCCCGGGCCCTGGCTGGGCGGCTCCCGTGCAGCTTTCTCACATCACAGCTGGAATCGTCAAGTGGGCTGGGCACTCAGGTCTTGCCCTGCAACGCCTGGAAACGTTCCTTTGCCCCACTGTTTCTACTGCTGTTGCTGCCTCGCAAACCACCTCAGGCATGAAACAACAACATCATTTTTTATTATTATCGTCTTGTGTGGTCTGGGAACTGGCCTCAGTTAGGCAGTTCTCCCTTGGAATGTCTCGTGGGTGTAGATGGAGCTGGTGGAGCCATGGCCAAGGCGTCCTCACCACGTGAACACATCTGCTGGCTGGTGTTGGCTGTCGGCTGGGGTCTCAGCAGACCCCTTGACTGGAACACCTACATGGACTCCAGGTGGCCGGGGCTTCCTCAGGGCCTGGTGGCTGGGTTTCCAGGATGAATGTCCCCAGAGAGAACCAATGGAAGCTGTGTCACCCTTTCTAACCCACCTCTGAAGTAACTCAGTGCCGTTTCTGCTGCATTCTCTTCCTTAGAATTGGACTCCTATGTTCAGTCCACATTCAGGGAAGGGGAATTACACCTCACTTCCTGATGGGCAGGAGTGTCAAAGACTTTGCAGTCATATTCTAAAACCACCGCCCCACCTCACGGGTCCCAGAGAACTGCCTCGGCCCTGCACTCAGGCTGCTCAGTTCCTGTTCAGATTAGTTCTTTGGATGCCCTGGCACTAGGTGAGGGAGGTGGTGAGAAACTGCTCCCCGATTCCTGAGTTTCTCCAGCCCCTGACACCCCAGCATACCCTGCAGTATTTGAGGTTAGCTTTCTGCTGAGAACAGTTATGTCTCTGAAAAGTGGCCCAGTTTTGCAGGCAAAATAAACATGGGAGGAGAGTGCAAATAGAAGAACCTGTGTTTTTGTACAGATCTTTCATTTGAAATTTCAGCAAGGAGACCAGGGTTTTTTTGAGCCTTCTTTAATTTTATTTTAATTGAGTTTTCTTAAGCTAGCCAAGCAAAATTGAGTCTGGCACAGTGTGTTCTGTGGCCGAATACATCCCGAAATGCAGTATTGCTGTGCAGATTAGAGATTAGCTCTGCAGAGCATTTGCACCAGGGACAGGCCCAAGGTCAAGACAGCCAGTTGTCACCTCTTTGTCCCCTCCTCCCAAAACTGTAGTTGCATTGACCTTAAGGCGCAGACATGCCTCCAATTTAATTCTAGTCTTAGGTGTGGGTTTTTGTGTGTGTGTGTTTTTAATCCTCACCCAGGGAGCGAGAGTATTTTTTCCATTGATTTTTAGAGAAAGTGGAAGGGAGGGGGACAGATGGAGAGAGAGAAACATACCAGTTGGTTGCCTCCCACTCAGCCCCAACTGGCTGGTGATTGAACCTGCAACTGAGGTACATGCCCTTGACTGGAAATTGAACCCTCTACCTTTCGGTCCACGGCCGACACTTTAACCACTGAGCAACCCGGCCAGGGCAACAGTTCCATATTTTAAAATTATTTTGTCTTGAACAGCTAAGAGATCTCTAAAATGAAATCTCATCTACTCTTTTAAAAATTAAAAAAGCAGTGCCCTCAAACGAAGGAGGAATGTTAGCAAGGGGAAGCTCGACTGACTGTGGGGAAGACGCCTCCACTTTTGTTACTGTTTCATTGCTCGGGAACAGCAGAAAACTTTCTGTGCCCTTAACGGGCGTTCGTTCAGTGTGCTCGGCACTTGTTTAAAACTCAGAATACAGCTCTTCGGACTTTCGAAATATGAAGAATCTCAATAAATTTCACAAGCATGGCTAAGCCAGTTTCATTAAAATAACATGGAATAAGACATCTCCATTAAAAGTTGAGCTCTCACATTGCAAGGCGCCTTGGCTTAGATTTCCTTGTCTCATAAAATGTTTGATGGGATAAAAGAGTCAAAATTCTGTTTAATGCTCAGAAGTAAAGTTGGTGTTTTGTCCTGCGACTCAAACAGCTTACAGTAAAGTTCAGGTCCTGTTTGTCAGCAGCGAAGGTGTCTGCAAGGTGATGGCTCTGGACAGCAGGCTGTTTTGCTAAATGGTGTATTTGAAATGGTCATAAATGTGTCAGCCCAGCTGCCTTCTCTCCTTCCTGCAGGCCGCGGGCAGTTAGATCTCTTTTCCATCAGTGTACCACACTTTGAAGTTGTCACAAATTCCAGTTCTGGGTTTCTAAGGCAAAAGGTCCATAAATAGTCTCTTACATTTAAATTCATTGTACAGTGAGTTTCGAGGGGAAGAGTTCTTGGTGTGTCCCCTTTTACAGAGGGACTACTTTGATGACATCGATGTTTGAGAGGTCATTTGACCCAGCTAATGGATTTTGGCACTTCATTCAGTATCTGCCACTTGGTATGTGATGAGAGAGTTCACACAGAAACTCTCTAAACTTATTACTACAAAATGGGATTATCAGTATCCTGTAAAATTTTCATTGTTGGAAGCTCCAGTTTATGTAATTTTGAATTTTGTACGTATGAAAAAGCTTTTCTAGTACTCAGTGCAGGGAGAAGGTAGTGACTCCCTCTCTGGTAATATTTAAGGAGAAGTTTGATAAAAGACTTCCAGGAATTCCTCCAGAAGTTTAAGTACTGAACGTAAGTTTGTGCTAGGTGGCCTTTCAAAGTTATCTTTCACTACTCAGATTTGATGGGTGCTAAATAATGATAGTAATAATAATTGTTCATTATTATGTGATATTTCGGGTTTTAAGAGTTAAAATATTTTACTTCTGCACATCAATACAAAGTAAAAGCTTTTGAAATACAGTTTGAACATGGGTGATCCTCATAGGTGTTTAAGACACAAGTTAGGAGGAACGGATAACAGGACAGTGGCTGGAATGTTAGCATGTGCCAGAGCCGTGGGGGAGTTTGTTGACTGAATAGATCAGGGGTGGGCAAACTTTTTGACTCGAGGGCCACAATGAGTTCTTAAACTGGACCGGAGGGCCGGAACAAAAGCATGGATGGAGTGTTTGTGTGAACTAATATAAATTCAAAGTAAACATCATTACATAAAAGGGTACGGTCTTTTTTTTTTTTAGTTTTATTCATTTCAAACAGGCCGGATCCCGGCCCGCGGGCCGTAGTTTGCCCATGGCTGGAATAGATACTCGGCCCCCACCCAGGAGCACAAAATCAGTCTCTGGAGGTGAGGCTTGATTATCTTTATTTCTGGATGATTCTGATGTATTTCAAGTTTGCAGGCCACTGCTGTAGGGTGTAACCTTCTGCCACTTTTTCAAGTTATAGAAATACATTTAGAAAATATTTGGCCCTTCCCATGAAAGGAAATAATAATAACAGTTACCATTTATTGATCATGTGCTATAGGCTAACATTGTGCTAGGCACTTTGAATGTACTTGTTCATTTAATCCTCACAATAACCTCTTGAGATGATTATCATTTCCCCCATTTTATAGCTTTAAGAAATGAGACCAGAGAAGTTAAATATCTTGCCTCAATTTATCCAGCAAGAAAGTGATAGAGTAGGGATTTGAGCACTGGTCTTTATAATTTTAAAATCTCTCTCTGTATACATGAACTGTGTTCTAAAATAAATACTTTAAATATTACACAGAGGCTGGATTGGGACAATAGTGAGTTAACTTAGGTTTTTTCTATCCAAAATGTAGCATTCCAGGGAAGGGGAGGAGTGTGGTGGGGCATAGGAGTGTGGACACTGATGAAAAGAAAAGCAACTGTGCCCAGGGTGGCATGGCCAGCAAGTACTGCCCATGGGGAGGACTTGGGGTGATTCTAAGAAGGAAGCCTAGAACCTTCCAAGTCTGCCTGCTCTTAGTGAGTGGTTTATGCTTTAAGAAACTGGCACAGCCCTAACCGGTTTGGCTTAGTGGATAGAGCGTCAGCCTGCGGACTGAAGGGCCCAGGTTCAATTCTGGTCAAGGGCATGTACCTTGGTTGCAGGCACATCCCCAG